TCATATCGTGTATTTCATCTGTATATGTGTAATGTGTATATGTATAAATGACAACACTTATACCGCATATTCTGCAACAGACTGTAATTAATCACCTTATTATTGTCTCTCCATTTACCATGGCTGACTGCACTAATACCCTTTTAACAGTGGACACCAATATCAGTATACATGTAGGCTTTTTGTTCAAAAAGGAATATGCAGGAAATTATATGTAACAATTAACTGTGTACTAATTACATGTTTGAATGTTATCAGTTTTACGTTCTGAGATACAGTGATGTAAGCATCTTCTACAATTAACAATACATGTATATAATAAAATACAAAACTCTCTGTCGTAAGTTTTTGTGGAAATCATTCGATCAAGTAAAAATGACTGCGTGACAAGACGAATCAACTATTTATACCCGATAAAAGAAACTGTCTTATTTTAGGAACAGTGCTATAACAGGACATTTGAAATTTTTAACAAGCAGATACATTAGAGACAGTGACTAGACTACAGGTATGTAATCCGTATCAATCAAAGGTGTAAAAAAACTGAAAATCATATCTGTCGGAGACCTACCAAATTACCAAGTTTTATCATTACTATATTTATTACAATGCAAATACTTTAGTGATACATTTTTCAGAGGAGAGGGCATATATACAAGTATATTGCTTCCGTGTGTGAATGCAGGTTGTACTTGGCATCTCAGTTACTGAATTTGTATATGGAACCATGCGTACAGCATGACAATTACTTGCTATTCGTCAGTTTACAACACACATAACACGGTCAAACAATTTTGGGCACCGCTTTTGCAAGTTATTTAGTACAATAATGTTTTTATTAAAATCTTTTCACCATTTTCCCTATTGACAGTCGTTGTTACGTGCCTCACTAGGTAATTAGTACGGCATTGACCTTGTTGATTGTTACTATACTTTGAGGATTTCTGTGGCCAGTGGCGGACGTAATTCAAACTCCTTCCGCACTGACACCGCATCAAATATATTTGTGTACCGATTACATAACTCTTATGGAAAGGGTGGGGTGGTAGTTCACCGGACGACACTGTGTATATTGGGCGTCTCCTTTGATATCTTCTCCAAACATACGTTTATTGAATGACCCCATTAAACGATGATACACATCTCGATGAATATATCAAGGCACTAATTCATCTTTCATAAACATTTTTTTGTCTTTGTGCTTAATGTATACACATATCAACGAACATTTGTAAAACATGTATCCACAAAAAAATAAACATTTTCAGGCTAGGTATTTGCCCACAGCAACACCTGCATAACTGTTTATTCACGCGTGGTGTGGTAGATCGTAATTGACCGAGAGCAGGTATGGTAGAATCACCTGTAAATAAGGCCGACACTGTAATTAGATACAACGTACTAATGAAAATTATCATAAGAAGGCTGTTTTTTTTTCTGAACTGTTACCATTTTCATACCAAAAGTGACAATGCAGTTAAAAGTTGCTTTAGTGTCACAATATTCACTCACGTTTTCCTCAATCGCATTGAAACATAATTCCTACTGGTCAGTTCGACACCGCTTGTAATTAAATAATTATTTCGAGATTTCGTTAGAATGTAAGATATTCAGCCAAAGGTTATGCAATAAAAGACGAATAGTTTCTTTTCATAAAAATACGCGCACGCGTACCTGTATATTGCATACCTAGTGTTTAGTAATTGCCCAGTGTGATGTATCAACGGGACATAAAATGGGAAATGAAATAGAAACTAACTAAAATTTAATGTTGTGGAAAATAACTCCAATGAATTGGAGTACACGCACATGAATTCGTATGATAAACTGTCAAAACGTTTTGAGAGGTAAGGCCGGGTTCATTAAAGATCGCTACAATATGTAAAACAGGTGAAATTTGTAGAACTTCTATAAAGGAAACATCCAACCAAATGCCCTTTTTAAATAGTAATGTAATGATATAATATAAAGTATATTTCACATGATACAATATACTTTGCACACATTTAGTTGATGCTTTAAAGGGACTGACGAAAACATGGGCGAAATATTTTAATAACGCCGTAAAATAGTTGAAACATGTATCATGCTTGTAGACACACCTTGATGTATTTGCGAAACTGAAACTGTTGAGCAAAGGAAAACATTCCCGCCCATGGGCCAAACTTTCTTGTCCAGAGCGAAATATTTCAATAACACCGTAAAATAGTTGAATTAAGTTAAAATTTGTTCAATTATGTGACATGAAACTTCTAAGAACACCTTTATGTATACGGACACTAAAACACAAGTTTTGAGCAAAGGGAAATATTCTCGCCCATGGGCCTGCCCCTGAGCAAAACCTTTTCTCGCCCATGGGCGAAATATTTCAATCACTCTATAAAATAGCTGAATTAAGTAAAATTGAGTTACATTATATGCCATGAAAATGGTAAGAACACCTGCTTTGAGTAAAGGAAAATATTCTCGCCCATGGGCAAAACCCTTTTCTCGCCTATGGGCGAAATAATTCAATATCGCTATAAAATCGTTGAATTAAGTTAAAATGAGTTAAATTTTGTGTCATGATACTAGAATAAATACATTTAATGTATTTGCGAAACAAAATCATGAGTTTTAAGTCAAGGAACATATTCTCGACAATGGGCAAAACCTTTTTCTCGCCCATGGGCGAAATATTTCAATATCGCCATAAAATCGTTGAATTAAGTTAAAATGAGTTACATTTTGTGTCATGATACTTGAATGAATACATTAAATGTATTTGCGAAACAAAAACATGAGTTTTAAGTAAAGGAACATATTCTCGCCCATGGGCCAGACTTCGCCCATGGGCAGGCCCATGGGCGACATAGTCTAAATATTGAGTTTTTGAACAATTTTTTTTTTCATTTTTTCTTCCTTGGTATGTTCCCATGAAAACAGCATGTTTAATTTTATAAATACCTTTAACCATTAATACATTTGCGAAACTTATCAATGTATATCTTTCACGCTATTAATTTTAGAAAATATGTTGGATAAAAAGTTTGTTTGTAATGCAAAACACTCACTACTGGACAATTTTGTAATGTACTATAAGCCTGTGCCTTTAAGTATGTGAAATAAAGATTGATTGATATAATAGGAAGAAAAATACATTTATACGAGGAACCGTACACGTTATTGAGCCACAATGTTGTGGAGAGAACACTTGGTGATTGTAGTCATCTCAGTTATCGGTACAAAGGAAAAGTCAAAGGTGCAGGTCAGCTACCATCGATATCGCGTATGTCCCCCGTTGGAATCGATAGCGGCCTGACATCTCCTTCCCCATGGAAGATACGAGTATGCGAATCACATCCTGGGGAATGGTAGCCCACTCTGCCTGCAACACAAAAGCCAACTGCTGCAAGGACTAGGTTTGTGGTTGACGTCGGCGTAGCCGTCTATCCAATTCATCCCACAGGTGCTCTATCAGGTTCAAATCCTGGGATCTGGAGGGCCAGGGGAGAACATCAACGTTGTTGTTGTGTAGACATGCTCTTGTGATCTGTGCTGTATGCGGTCGAGCATTGTCCTGCTGGAATACAACGTTGCCGTTGGCTGCAATTGGGAGGACGTGTGGTAGGAAAATTTCGTTGATGTATCGTTGAGCCATAAGATTGCCCTGGATATAGACCGAACCTGTCCTGCCATGATGAGATCACGACGCTTTCTGGGCCAAACAAGTCCACTTCCTCTCCCCGTTCTCCTGTAGACCCATGCTCTTCCATCCCCTCGACGGGGGAGAAATCTTGATTTGTCGATTAAACTGACATCTCTTCATCGCAGTTGAGGCGATACCCTATGTTTACGACACCAATGCAGTCGTTGTTGACGATGTTGTCGACCCAATATGTCGCGTCGAACAGGACGTCTTGCTCGTAGACCTGCTGCTCTTAAATGGTTTGGTACGGTCTGGTCGGAGATTCTGTGCACTCCGGGTATTTGGGATGCTGGTGAGGTGGCTGTGGTCGTCCTTTCACGTAGGTGGGGCAGTCGGATGTAGCGATCTTGGGCGGGGTGGTTACTCTTTGTTGTCCCGACCTTGGCCGATCACATGTTGACCCATGCTGTTGAAACCGATCCCATAGCCTTGTGATGGTGCTGTGCACTACATTGAAAACCCTGGCTACAGCTGATCGGGATTCCCTGCCTGCAAGTGGCCTATGATGTTGTTTCTTTGCATTTCTGTTAATCTTGGCATGTTGTTGAACTGTCACAGTTCGATTGACGCAGATGCCAGGGAATCAGTACAGTACGTGCAGCTCCATGGCCCTTTTGTTAATGCACGGTGTGCTTTTTTTCTGAATGGTTTGAATGTCCTTTTTGTGATCATTTTGATTCCGGAATATCGTCACTGACACTTTAACAAATCAAACCTCTTCATTTCGCACCTTTTGGTCCTCTTATTTTGCTTTTATGGCCAAAAATATCCGTATATATAATATCACTGACTTATATGTAAAATGTAGGTTACCTATATATACAGTGCCAATAGTATATGTTTAGTATATATCGGTTATTTATGTAACTGACATTAAACATGTAGGTAACTGGCATATTACTATTACATATTACTGGCATATAACCAGCAGTGGATATTTATGTAACTGACATTGTAAACAACATGACAAAGAACAATACCAGGTGTTGCTTTGTACAATGCCAGTTACACACAAGTACAATGTCAACTTACTAAATATACAGTGTCAGTTACTTATCACTGAGTGGACATTTTGGGTAGTATTCCAGCTTGCTGTGTGAGGATAGCCCGAAGTGATGCACGTCTCAGACACTAACCCCTTCGTTGAGCACGGGTATGGTGCTGACAAACAGAACCATAACCGTGGCGACCCGACATTCAAACCCATGATCATAGGTTTCTGGTGTGCCCAAGGGACGCAACTCTGCACAGTGAATTGTGACGCCTTGGAGGACTGAGCCAGATGTGAAATACAAATTGTTCTTTGTTGTAGAATGACATGTGTTCTGGGCGAAGACGCTGAATACAGCTGCCCCTCAGGACGTCGCACTGCAGTTGTGACTGTTTGGCGACGTCAGTAGGCAGCATGGACACAGGGCGTCGCCTCTGCTGTAACACCATGCGGTGTTCATGAGAGTGGTATATCGAGACCCACGCGACAAGAACAGCGGACGATGTGCTGGAGAGGAACAAGATAGCATTGCGCCATGTATAAATGCTATAAACACAGTTGAATTAAATCATATTTGGTCATGAGAGATAAACGGAGGTTTAATGCAGAATTTAACAAATGAGCATATTACTTTTTGCGGTATACTGGTACTCCTATGTATTATGTATCAACACATGTTATGCTTTTGCGTACTATGTATTTTACGTTTACCTTGAACGAGTGACTGTTAACATTATTTTACTGGTATTAGGGTTGCATGGGGTGTATGTGATCTTATGCTGTTTCTTCTTTTCTCATCATCTCCAACTCGAACTGAATATTTAAATTTCATGGTCTTTTATTTTCCTCTTAACAAACATTATTTATGAAAACTGATATACTTTGATGTAGTATTCAAATAAAACATGTATGACTTTATAGCTGTGTGATTCGTGACTTCATCAAAGAATAATCGACAACGAGTGGACAAACAAACACACGCCCACAAGACATGGATGACAAAACGCCCTCAACTTGATTAGACAAACGCCAAAAAGACATGACTCAACAAACGCCCACAAGACATGACTAAACAAAAACACAAAAAACATGACTAAAAAAACGCCCACAAGACATTGTTCAACAAACACGCACAAAACATGACTAAACAAACACGCACAAGACATGACTCAAGAAACACGCAAAAAACTTGACTAAACAAACACACACATGACTCAACAAACACTCACAAAACATGACTCAACAAACGCCCACTAAACATGACTCAACAAACACACACAAGACATGACCCAACAAACACTCACAAGACATGACTCAACAAACGCACACAAGACATGACTCAACAAACAATCACAAGACAACACTCAACAAACGCCCACGAGACATGACCCAACAAACGCACACAAGACATGACTCAACAAACGCACACAAGACATGATTCACCAAACGCCCACACGACATGACTAAACAAACACCACAAGACAAGACTCAACCAACGCCTAAGAGACATGACTCAAGAAACGCCTAAGAGACATGACTCAACAAACGCACACAAGACATGGCTCAACAAACGCACACAAGACATGATTCAACGAACGCCCACAAGACATGAAACAACAAACGCCCACAAGTCATGACTCAACGAAGAGCACAAGACTTGACTCAACAAACGCACTAAAGACACGACTCAACAAACGCCCACTAGACACGACTCAACAAACGCACACAAGACATGACTCAACAAACACGACAAGACAAGACTCAACAAACGCCTAAGAGACATCACTCAACAAACGCCTAAGAGACATGACTCAAGAAAGGCCAAAAAGATATTACTCAACAAAAGCAACCAAGACATAATTCAACAAACGCCCACAAGACATGACTAAACAAACACCACAAGACATGACTCAACAAATGCACACAAGACATGACTCAACAAACGCACAAAAGACATGACTCAACAAATGCACACAAGACATGATTCAACAAACGCCCACAAGACAGGACTAAACAAACATCACAAGACATGACTAAACAAATGCACACAAGACATGACTCAACAAACGCCCACAAGACATGACTCAAGAAACACAACAAGACAAGACTCAACAAACGCCTAAGAGACATGACTCAAGAAACGCCTAAGAGACATGACTCAACAAAGGCACACAAGACATGGCTCAACAAACGCACTCAAGACATGATTCAACGAACGCCCACAAGACATGATTCAACAAAAGCACACAAATCACGACTCAACAATCGCGCAATACACGACTAAACAAACGCCACCAAGACACGACTCAACAAACGCACACAAGACATGACTCAACAAACGCCTAAGAGACATGACTCAAGAAACGCCTAAGAGACATGACTCAACAAAGGCACACAATACACGACAAAACAAACGCCAACAAGACACGACTCAACAAACGCACACAAGACATGACTCAACAAATGCACTAAGAGACATGACTCAAGAAACGCCTAAGAGACATGAATCAACAAAGGCACACAAGACATGGCTCAACAAACGCACAGAAGACTTGATTCAACAAACGCACTAAAGACACGACTCAACAAACGCCCACTAGACACGAATCAACAACGCACCCAAGAAATTGGTCAGCAAACGCACACAAGACATGACTCAACAAACACCTCAAGACAAGACTCAACAAACACCTAAGAGACATCACTCAACAAACGCCTAAGAGACATGACTCAAGAAAGGCCAAAAAGACATTACTCAACAAATGCACACAAGACATAACTCAACAAACGCACCCAGGACATGACTCAACAAACGCCCACAAGACATGACTCAACAAACGCACACAAATCACGACTCAACAAACGCACAATACACGACTCAACAAACGCCACCAAGACACGACTCAACAAACGCACACAAAACATGACTCAAGAAACACAACAAGACAAGACTCAACAAACGCCCACAAGACATGACTCAACAAACGCCTAAGAGACATGACTCAACAAAGGCACACAAGACATGGCTCAACAAACGCACACAAGACATGATTCAACGAACGCCCACAAGACATGATTCAACAAAAGCACACAAATCACGACTCAACAATCGCGCAATACACGACTAAACAAACGCCACCAAGACACGACTCAACAAACGCACACAAGACATGACTCAACAAACGCCTAAGAGACATGACTCAAGAAACGCCTAAGAGACATGACTCAACAAAGGCACACAATACACGACAAAACAAACGCCAACAAGACACGACTCAACAAACGCACACAAGACATGACTCAACAAATGCCTAAGAGACATGACTCAAGAAACGCCTAAGAGACATGAATCAACAAAGGCACACAAGACATGGCTCAACAAACGCACAGAAGACTTGATTCAACAAACGCACTAAAGACACGACTCAACAAACGCCCACTAGACACGAATCAACAACGCACCCAAGAAATTGGTCAACAAACACCCACAAGACATGACTCAACAAACACCTCAAGACAAGACTCAACAAACACCTAAGAGACATCACTCAACAAACGCCTAAGAGACATGTCTCAAGAAAGGCCAAAAAGACATTACTCAACAAATGCACACGAGACATGACTCAACAAACGCACACAAGACATGACTCAACAAACGCCCACAAGACATGACTCAACAAACGCACACAAATCACGACTCAACAAACGCACAATACACGACTCAACAAACGCCACCAAGACACGACTCAACAAACGCACACAAAACATGACTCAACTTACGCCCACAAGACATGACTCAACAAATGCCCACAAGACATGACTCGACAAACGCACACAAGACATGACTCAACAAACACCACAAGACAAGACTCATCAAAAGCCTAAGAGACATCACTCAACAAAGGCACACAAGACATGGCTCAACAAACGCACAGAAGACACGACTAAACAAACGCCCACAAGACATGACTCAACAAACGCACACAAGACATGACTCAACAAACGTACACAAGACATGACTCAACAAACGCACACAAATCACGACTTAACAAACGCACTAAAGACACGACTAAACAAACGCCACCAAGACACGACTCAACAAACGCACACAAGACATGACTCAACAAACACCACAAGACATGACTCGATAAACGCCACCAAGACATGACTCAACAAACACGCACAAAACAAGACTCATGAAAAGCATAAGAGACATGACTCAACAAAGGCACACAAGACATGGCTAAACAAACGCACACAAGACATAACTCAACAAACACCACAGGACATGACTCAACAAACGCACACAAGACATGACTCAACAAACGCACACAAGACATGATTCAACAAACGCACACAAGACATGACTAATCAAACACCACAAGACATGACTCAACAAATGCATAGAAGACATGACTCAACAAACGCACAAAAGATATGACTCAACAAACGCACACAAGACATGACTCAACAAACGCACAAAAGACACGACTCAACAAACGCCCACAAGACATGACTCAACAAACGCACACAAGACATGACTCAACAAACGCACACAAGACATGACTCAACAAACGTACACAAGACATGACTCAACAAACGCACACAAATCACGACTTAACAAACGCACTAAAGACACGACTAAACAAACGCCACCAAGACACGACTCAACAAACGCACACAAGACATGACTCAACAAACACCACAAGACATGACTCGATAAACGCCACCAAGACATGACTCAACAAACACGCACAAAACAAGACTCATGAAAAGCACAAGAGACATGACTCAACAAAGGCACACAAGACATGGCTAAACAAACGCACACAAGACATAGCTCAACAAACACCACAAGACATGACTCAACAAACGCACACAAGACATGACTCAACAAACGCACACAAGACATGATTCAACAAACGCACACAAGACATGACTAATCAAACACCACAAGACATGACTCAACAAATGCATAGAAGACATGACTCAACAAACGCACAAAAGATATGACTCAACAAACGCACACAAGACATGACTTAACAAACGCCCACAAGACATGACTCAACAAACGCACACAAGACAAGATTCAACAAACACCCACAAGATATGACTCAACAAACACCACAAGACATGACTCAACAAATGCACAAAAGACATGACCCAACAAAAGCACACAAGACATGACTCAACAAACGGACACAAGACATGACTCAAACAACGCCCACAAGACATGACTCAACAAACGCACACAAGACATGACTCAACAAACACCACAAGACAAGACTCAACCAACGCCTAAGAGACATGACTCAAGAAACGCCTAAGAGACATGACTCAAGAAACGCCTAAGAGACATGACTCAACAAAGGCACACAAGACATGGCTCAACAAACGCACACAAGACATGACTCAACAAATGCCAACAAGACACAACTCAACAAACGCACACAAGACATGACTCAACAAACGCACACAAGACATGACTCAACAAACACCTCAAGACAATACTCAACAAACGCCCACAAGACATGACTCAACAAACGCCTAAGAGACATCACTCAACAAAGGCACACAAGACATGGCTCAACAAACGCACAGAAGACATGACTCAACAAACACCACAAGACATGACTCAACAAACGCACACAAGACATGACTCACCAAACGCACACAAGACATGATTCAACAAACGCACACAAGACATGACTAAAGAAACACCACAAGACATGACTCAACAAACAGCACAAGACTTGACTCAACAAACGCACTAAAGACACGACTCAACAAACGCCCACTAGACACGACTCAACAAACGCACACAAGACATGACTAAACAAACACGACAAGACAAGACTCAACAAACGCCTAAGAGACATGACTCAAGAAAGGCCAAAAAGACATTACTCAACAAAAGC